GTTTTCCACAATAATTTTACAGAAGAGGCTAATGAACTGCGTGATAAACTTGACTTAAGAATAGGGCTGCCAGAGGTCCCGGTTTTCCCGGACATGTCCCCCGGTTTTAGACTATTTGTCCCGGTGTTCCGGTCCAACCTTAAAATGTCCCGGGTTTCGTTTTAGTGTCCCGGTTTTTGATTTGATTGCACAAATTTGAATAAAAGTTCAAAAATCACTACACTAAGGGGGAAAAACGCGTTGTAATATTCAGGAAAATGTTATAAATTCACTGCGGGAAATAATGCATAGTAAACATGAATATTTTCTATTTGATTATCGTTTAAAAATGTTGGTATTTAAAAATAATACTTTCATAACACGCACGCGTGGTGTTAATTCAAACTCAACTGGCTGTAGCTGAGTGCGCGACGATGCTTGCCACAATTTGCTAATTTCCAGAGGGTCAGCGTTCAATTCCCATTACAACCAGCATGGAATTTAAATATTTTTTTAACTTAATTATGAAAAAGCAATCGGTAATTGCAAATCGCTTAATTTTAATATGGGCGTATTTGAATTGAATATTTCTATACTAAATACTAAAATTTGTATACTTAAATGTATAACGAGTTGGGTTGGTACTCTTTCATATGCGTGTTTTTTTAATTTAGCACGCTTTTTTAATTCTAAACCTCTTTCTCTCAGTGCACCGGTTTAATTTGTGAAATAGTCACATTTCGAGATAGTTGAACTTTGCACAAGTAATAGTTGATGATTAGTATATCGATGGCTGAGTGAAAGATCGACCTATCTCGGCAGCCAGTTCGAAAACGCCCTATCTCAGAAAAAATTTCAACAACGCTAAGAACACCCTACTTCAGAATTTGATTGAAAAACGCCCTAGCTCAGTATTTGGTTGAAGAACGCCCTATCTTAGATGCTGATTCAAAAACACCCTATCTCAGCTTATTTTCAATGTATNTAGGGCTGCCAGAGGTCCCGGTTTTCCCGGACATGTCCCCCGGTTTTAGACTATTTGTCCCGGTGTTCCGGTCCAACCTTAAAATGTCCCGGGTTTCGTTTTAGTGTCCCGGTTTTTGATTTGATTGCACAAATTTGAATAAAAGTTCAAAAATCACTACACTAAGGGGGAAAAACGCGTTGTAATATTCAGGAAAATGTTATAAATTCACTGCGGGAAATAATGCATAGTAAACATGAATATTTTCTATTTGATTATCGTTTAAAAATGTTGGTATTTAAAAATAATACTTTCATAACACGCACGCGTGGTGTTAATTCAAACTCAACTGGCTGTAGCTGAGTGCGCGACGATGCTTGCCACAATTTGCTAATTTCCAGAGGGTCAGCGTTCAATTCCCATTACAACCAGCATGGAATTTAAATATTTTTTTAACTTAATTATGAAAAAGCAATCGGTAATTGCAAATCGCTTAATTTTAATATGGGCGTATTTGAATTGAATATTTCTATACTAAATACTAAAATTTGTATACTTAAATGTATAACGAGTTGGGTTGGTACTCTTTCATATGCGTGTTTTTTTAATTTAGCACGCTTTTTTAATTCTAAACCTCTTTCTCTCAGTGCACCGGTTTAATTTGTGAAATAGTCACATTTCGAGATAGTTGAACTTTGCACAAGTAATAGTTGACGATTAGTATATCGATGGCTGAGTGAAAGATCGACCTATCTCGGCAGCCAGTTCGAAAACGCCCTATCTCAGAAAAAATTTCAACAACGCTAAGAACACCCTACTTCAGAATTTGATTGAAAAACGCCCTAGCTCAGTATTTGGTTGAAGAACGCCCTATCTTAGATGCTGATTCAAAAACACCCTATCTCAGCTTATTTTCAATGTATTTTCCTTTGAGAAAGGGCGTTTTTGAACCGAATTCTGAGATAGGGCGTTATTCAACCAAATTCTGAAGTAGGGTGTTTTTCAATAATATTCTGAATTAGGGCGTTTTTCAATCAAATTCTGAAGTAGGGCGTTCTTGAAAAGTTTTCTGAGATAGGGCGTTTTCGAACTGGCTTCCGAGATAGGTCGATCTTCCACTCAGCCATCGATATGTACACTGAGGGAAATAATGCATAGTAAAAATTAATACTTTATATTTGATTATCGTTTAAAAATTTTCGTATTTAAAAATAACATTTGCATACAAAATTTATTGTGTCTGTGCTTTAGTTGTGATAAGTTGTTTTGTTTTGTTGGCGTGATCTCATGATCTCATGTTTTTATGTTTTTGTTTTTGTCTGTCAAAATAAAATTTCCCTACATCCTTTCGCACGTCGAAATGAAAGAGAAGGGAGCGAGAGGCCCTCCCTAAAGTGTCCCGGTTTTGCAACAGAGATAACTGGTAGCCCTACTTAAGAAGCATATTAAAAGACTGTCAAAAATGTTTAATCACCCTAACCGAAGAACTTTTGAAACGATTACCTAATCAATTCAATACTTTAAAAAAAGCTTTGATTTTATCACCAAAAAGGTGTGTGAATCACAAGAGGGCGAGTTCGAGGGACCTGCCAATTCACTATTTGACTTTGAAGGAAAGAAAAGCAGCAGAAGCTGAATATTTAAATATTTTAACTTTCCCATGGTTCAACTCTTCTCAGAACCATTGTTAGGGTCTAAAAACTGCTTAGGGACTGAAAACCGCAACAGGCAATCAAATGTTTGGAAATATAAGTAAATTCATATTATTATCTTTGTCGCACTAACATGCTTTATGGAGCGCATTTTTTCCATAATGAATTCAACAAAAACTAATGCCGATTACCGAAAAATGCAACCTTCTCTTTGCCCTTTACGCACTAACACTAAGAAGAGGGAGATGAGAAGGCAACATTTTTTGTAGAAACGTAATCGCCATAAGATTCGAAATAGGATGAGGTTGAAAGCCTTAATTCAATAGTTCGAATAAAGTGTTATACGAAGGCTAATAGTTTCTGCTGCAAAACGTTTCCAATATCAAACAGTATGTTATCAAGGTTGAATAGCTCAATATATGACAACAGAAATTCAGACGCTATAGGTGATTTTGAAGAAATTGTGGAAATAGCTGATCTCGCGTTATTATAGGTTTTTATTAAATTTTTAGCGCGAAACTCTTTAAAGCGGATTATGCGATTAATTAATTAATATGAGTTATAATAAGTTTAATAATTGCGCAGCTCTATTGCAAAATGTGTTGGAACAAATATCTTTTAAAGGTATGCGTATTTTTAAAGAAAATTGTTTGTACATCACTATAATATAAGTGATTTGTGTTATTTATTATTACCCTCTGAAGGTATTATATTCGTTTTTGGTTTTAAAAACTATATTATAAGAAGATCTCATTTTTAAAATAAAAGACTTATTAAATTGATTTCATGAATTAAAAAAAAGAATTGGCGATTTTTGGCGATTTCTTTTCAGAAATTGCGCTTTTTTTTTTAACCATCTGGACACAATGTTCAGGACTGACGTTTACTAAGCATATTGATTATATTGTCTCAAAAGCTTTCTCTATGATTGGATTTATACGTCGTAATACCGAAGACTTTTCTGATCCTTTGACCTTGAAAGCACTTTACGTTTCCTTAGTTCGGAGCCACCTAGATTATTGTTCATTAATATGGAACCCATTCTACCACTGCCATGTAAATAAAATCGAAAGAGTCCAAAAAGTCTTTACGAAATATGCATTGAATAAGCTGCGCTGGCCTAATGGTCTCCCTAGTTATATAGGCAGACGCAAATTGGTTGGACTGCAAAGCCTTGAAGATAGACGAATCTACTTTTCGGTGATATTCGTGTGTAATCTTTTAAATGCCAATATAAATTGCAGTGAGCTATGGAGTATAATCAAACTTCAAACTAATCACCATGATTTAAGGCAGGTTCGTTTATTTGTTGATCAAGTGCATAGAACAAACTATGCCTTTGATGAACCAATGGTGAGATGCATTCAATTTTGCAACAACTATCCTAACATAGACTTTATTCTCAGTCTATATAATTTTAAGCAGCAATTGTATGCAATTTTTAATTAAAAATTCTAAAACATTTGTAATATATGTAGTCTGTAAGATTTATCTGTAGACTGAAGAAATAAATAAATAAATTAGCGTCCTCAGTTATTGAAATCTCAGAGTTTTCGTATTTCTGAAATTTACCGTTATACGGGAAGCGGGTGTAATTTTAGTCCGATTTGAATAACTTTCAACAAATTGCTTTTCCGTACCAAGGTTATTAAGTGCACTGAGTTTGGTGGAAATTGATAAATCGGTTACCAAGATACACATTTGTGGTCATAAGTGGGCGGCGCCACCCCCATTATACAAAAATTTATAATAGCCTAATTTTTTGCTAGTGGTCATTGCAATAATCGATTTTGAGTCAATTAGCTTCAGTAGTTACTGATTTATTGCAGTTTTCGTGTTTCTGTAAATTACCGATATATGGTAGGTGGGCGTGGTTATTGCCCGATTTTAAAGATTTTCAACAGATTTCTTAGCTAGACACACGCCAGGCCTTGTACCGAGTTTAGTAAGGATTGGTGAAGCCGCTACTTAGATACAACATGACCCTCACGCCCATTTTCCAAAAATTTCTTAACAATGTTGTTTTTTACCACAATTCTACTCCACATACTAATTTTCAACAATTTGCATCCAATATATACTGAAATATCGCTGTTTTTGCGATACCAACTTACCTTGGATAAAGGGCAACCTACGTATAAAATTTCGTTAAGATATCTCAATTCTTGCTCGAGTTATCGTGTACACAGACAGACAGACGGACGGACAGACAGACATGGCTTAATCATTCTGATCATTTATGTATACATTTGTCCATATCTATCTCCCTTCGTTTTGGCTGTTACAAACAACCGTTATGCGAATAAAGTTAATATTAGAGGTGTCAAACTATCGATGGCACTATCGATAGTATCGATGGTTTTGGGTTTTCGTCTACTATCGATGGTTTTTAACACTATCGATACTATCGAACAATTTCCACTCCTAGCTTTGCGCCATTTTCCAAGCGGTGACATTTTTGCAGCTAATAAATTTATTACACGGGTAAGTATTTTGAGAATAAAATAATATATTTTTAAAAGTTTTGCGTGAAAATATGTCAATTTATAGTTATAGTTTGTTTTGAAAAACAGCCCCAAGTCTCCTGCTCTAACAAAAATGTATCTTCTGTATAATTATAGTGTATGAAAACGCGTTTGTACGATGAATAACGTTTCCAGTATTCGCAGAGGTAAAAATACTTTCTAACTTATGAACCTGCAACTTCAAATTACTTTCTTTTTGTGAACAGAAAGCAGCGAAGAAGTACAAATAGTAAGCGACTCGGTGGAAGAAAATTTGCAATTGAAAAAATCAAAAAGAGGCATGTCAGAAGTGTGGAACTTCTTTGAGAAAGCACAAGACAAAAAGCACGCAAAAATGTAGAAAATGTGGTAAGACATACAAAACAAGTGGAAACACTTCTAATTTATTAGACCACCTAAAGCGTGCGTACCCTTTGCGCGATCGAGACAACGCAAATCAAAAAATTTCTTCGTTTTTTACACACGGTGAAACGTATGACAGCAAATCTGCACGTAAAGAACAACTTGATCGCGCGTTGGTTTTAATGATTGCTTTAGACGTCCAACCATTTCGAATAGTGGAAGACAAAGGTTTCCGTAGCTTTGTAAAATGTCTCGATCCCCGGCACACTTTGCCATGTCGAAGCAGTTTACAAGTGCAAATCAAAAATATATTTGACTCGATTTAATATAAGGTACATTAGACTTTAGAAAGCATTGAATACTGCGCAATCACAACTGACTTGTGGACTTCACGTGCAAATGAAAGTTATGTTACAATAACGTGCCACTTCGTTTCACCGAATTTTGAACTACACTCTGCTGTGCTAAGTACTGAAAAATTAATTGACGAATCAAATCACTCGGCTGAGAACATTGCTAGCACACTACGAGCTGTGTTATCAAAATGGGGCGTATTTCATAAAGTTGTTGCGTTTGTAACCAACAATGCAGCCTCAATGGTAAAAGCATGTGAGTTGCTAGAAAAGCGTAATTTGCCTTGCTTTGCCTGTACTTTAAATCTGGTGGTGCAAGACGCGCTTAAGCAATGCTATGTATTGAATGTACTCACAAAGTGCAAGCGCATTGTAACCTACTTTAAAAGCAGCACAATTGCATATGCAAAATTTAAAGCAGCTCAAGGTAATGAGCAGCAGTATAGTCTTGTACAGGAAGTTGTAACGCGTTGGAATAGTGCCTATAATATAATAAATAGGATTTTAATAACAAAAGACGCCATTGCTTCAGTTTTATTACGTACACCGAAAGCCCCTCCGCCGCTTACGGCAGACGAAATGGAGCTCTTGCAAGATCTTTGCAGTTTGCTTGCGCCATTTAATGATGCCTCAGTGCAAGTATCAGCAAACACTACAGTAACGATTTCGCTCATTATACCCATGGTCGTTGGCCTGTACTCAAACATGGCAGAAGCTAAAAGCAAAATGAAAATGAAGGAAGGTGTTCAAACCTGCGCATTCTTAATGGAAACGTTACAGCGCCGACTATTTGCATATGAAACGAGAACTGTAACAAGACTTGGTACTCTTCTTGATCCACGGTTCAAGAAAGAGGGATTTCGTGTAGCGCAAAATGTTGAGCAGGGAATGAAAGCCCTGGAAAATTAATTGGTTTCGATACAAGCAAACCGCTCAAGATTCAATGATGCAGCATCAAATGAAGTTGATACTAAAGTGCAGCCGCTGTTCAGTTTTATGAAAGAAAAACTAGCGAGTAAGGTGAAGACGTCACGGGTGGACGCGATTATTTTATTGAGGCAATATAGCGAAAAACCGAATTTGCCGCAATCAATGAATCCGCTTCAATATTGGAAGGTAATTGCAGCTTAAATTGCATTACAAAATATATACAATGTTACAATATACATTTGGTTTTATTTAGAACAATGCTACAGATATGGAGTTGATGCAAACGGGAGCAAAACGCTATTTGTGTGTCCCAGTAAATTCAACGGAGTCGGAGCGGATGTTCAGCAAGGCTGGACAAATTATATCTGAAAGACGTACAAATATTAAACCACTGCTACTGTTCCTTTGCAAAAACGAATGGTTATTGTGATTTTTAAAATATGCAATTTTTTGTTAAATAGTTATAACCATTGAACTGATCTTCATAAAACAAACCTAGCCTTAAATTTGTGAAATATTTTTCGTGTTTGAAACATTGATTATTTTATGTTTTATAACAAAAATGGATTTCTTGTGATATGTATACATACATAATTAAACAAGTTTAAAACTAAGTTTCTTTATGAAATAATAAAAATATGTTTTCGAGTTTTTGAAAATATTGTGTTTGTAAATTTTTTTGGGTATTTATTAGGTACTTTTCACTTATGGAAATAAAAGAAAAAATGCTTAATTAGTCGTGGCGTTATAGATTCATTAAAAGCAGGGCCAATAACATAAATCATCGAACAAACAAACAAAATATGCTTAATAAATAATAAAAAAATTTCGATAGTTTTCGATAGTATCGATAGTGGAGCTAAACTATCGCACACTATCGAGTGGCCCCACTATCGATAGTTTGACAGCTCTAGTTAATATACCCTTGTGCACAAGTGCGCTCGGGTATAAAAATGCGTGTAATTTTCGTTACGAAATTGGTATCATAAATTTTGTGTTCCTAGTTCAGCTTTCATCACTCGAAAATTTAACCTCAAAGAGGTGTTTTATTTGATATAAGGTATCGTTGGAAAGGTATTGACCTATAGAATAACTCTAAATATGTTGGGTGTACCCACATACTCCCTTAAAAGGTTTTTTGTTTCGCAACACCTTAGCCTAATTTTCAAGAATTCGGATAATCGTTTATGATGCTTGAATACCTTTTCTGGACACACTCTGCAAGACCTTTCCAACGATACCTCGAACATGTCGATTGGACGTCTGGATAAAACTTCCAAATCTCGTGTATATATAATGTGACCAACCGTACTTCTTTCGGAAGTACAGTACTTCTTTTTTCGCTTTTGTGCTTCGTACTTCGAAGTACAGTCAAATGTACTTCTTTGCGATATTTTGTACTTCAGGAGGGTGATTCTGTAACCAGTTAGCGACAACTTTCGGATCGCTAGGATATAAATGGTTTTGCGTCAAAAAGTACGATAACGATTGCAAAATTGTCGCTAACTGGTTACAGAATCTCCTCCCAGGTCCTGTACGTCTCCGATCTTTAAGACGATCGTCACACGGAAGGGCGATAAATTCGTTCAAACCATTAAAGTCGCCGGGACCGATGGCATCATACCTGCGAACCTGCAAAAGGCTCTGAAGGTGTCGTGCAATTGGTTTGATCCTATTTATGCGAACTGCGTGAGGACCGGGTACATCCGCAAGGTTTGAAGAGTAGTCAGTTTTGCGTTAATCCCAAAGGCCGAAAAAGGCTCTCATGTTTCCCCTAGGGAGTTTAGGCCTATCAGACTCTTCGTTTTTGCTAAAAACGCTAGGGAGACTGAAAGACCTGTACATAAGCAATGCGATTCCTGGCGACTCTTTCAAGAGCTCAATAATCTTATTGCAAGAAAAGGTCGGTAAATACCGACACACATTGCTAAAGTGCTCAGAGGAAGCCTTCACGCATGAAGATTATGCAGTAGGGGCCTTCGATATCGAAGGAGCCTTTAACAATGTCACTCCAGAGGCAATAGTCAAGAATATTTATAATCTAGGGGTTGAAACCAACCTAATAAGCTTATTTCGTGACAGAACTGTCGCGGCGGAGTGGGGGAGCATCTGCACTCAGTGCAGAGCCAACAGGACCACTCCACCAGGTAGGTTGTAAACGACCTTCTAGAGGAACTGGAAAAAGTGGGCTGTCGGGTGATCGCCTATGTAGATGATGTAGAACTTTGGTTAAGGGACGATTTCTATACACACTTTTTGATCTGGCTCAAGGTTCCTGAACCAGGTAACAAGGAGGGCAATCAACGGCGGCTGTAGTAGAAGCCTAACATTGAGGAAGGGGTAGGAAAGGTGTCGGTTGCCTTGTACCGCTGTAAGGGAGCTATCGGTAAAAGGTGTGTTCTCTCGCTCAAATTAGTTCATTAGCTCTAGGAAACCAGATTTATGCCTATATTGTTTCAAGGAGCCCTTGTGTGGCGAAACTCACTAGAGAAGGCTACACTAGTAAAACAGAAATTAGCGGAGCATTAGGAACCACACTGGCGCTTAACATACACATGTTGAGAAAGGTACCTGCGTATATTGCAGACAGGACTGTCGTAACACGAACTGCTATTATGCTAAGGGAAAGCGGGTGCTTTTGTAACATAAACAAGGAAAAGAAGACGGTTCGTTGCTGCAGAAAATATTTTTATAGGGCACTTTAAACACGTTATCTCTCAAGGGCTAGTGATGGGGGTTCTGACAGGACATTGTGAGAATACTGAGACTGATCCTTTCGTATCAGCTGTCAAGAGGAAGATGGGGTGGAATCATCTCCACACTTTCTTTTAGACTGCCGAACCTTCGTCAGGCTAAGATGGAAGCATTTTGGCTCGCACTTCTGAACAAACACTGAGCTCTCATGGATCGAAATTAGCCGCATTCGAAATTTCGTAACCGGCTCGCAGCGTTAACTTAGCCCAACCTAACCTGTACTTCTTTGAAATAGTTGGTCACATTATGTATATACATACATATAAGCGAGTCATTTCAGCATGCTACTGCCCAGCCAGCAAAAAATCCGAAAACCGATCCGGAAAAGGACAAAAAACTGCATGAAGTGCGGATTTTTGTCAGTTTACTGATTCCATTTCCGGATACTTTGACGATCCGTTTTCCCACTAAAGTGTGCGGCAGAAACGTATGTACAGACAACAGTATGTGAAACGGATACGTTTACGGCTGTTTTTTCTGAAATTTGTCTGATTGAATTTTTCGTACGCTTTCTTTCTGCACTTCACAGATACTTTTTCATTGTTCAAAAGCAATAAAATAAAATTAGGAAGCGCCTGACGGAATTCGGCACCTTCTGGAAGCTAACAAATAGCGGCGCACTCTGCACGCTCAGCCACTTCCAACTACACAGGCATGCTTTCAAATGTTTAGCTTGAGCAAATAAAATACAATTATTGCTTAAAATGACATCATCTTTTTCTAATGTTTCGAACGTTTTCCGGATATGAAAATTGATGATAACTGTAGGAGTTTTTCTATTCGTTTACGGATACGGAAAATTGAACTAAACTGCACTGTCGGCAAAATTTACATTTCTTTGCTGGCTGGGTGTGGCTGCTTTCGTCATTCGCGCGCACTACCGTGCGCTGTGATATTTTGCTGAATTAAAAAAAAAAAAACTTTGAAATAAAAAATAAACAACTAAAAATGTGTATTTTCAAAAATTATTGAAAATTTCACTTCTTTCGACTGTGGTCGCTAGTAACACTAATAATTTTTATTTAAATCTGCACAAGTTATATATTTTTGTAAAGGGCACATAAATACCTTTCGAACGTTTGCTTGCTAGCTGATATTTTCAAGAGAAATTTACTAATAACTGCGAAAATTATCTGCCAAAAAACATTTTCAACATTTTTCAAAAAAATACCTAAAACGCTTCATAAAAAAAGGGTATTGTTTTCATGTTCAGGGACCCAAAATAAGCTTAGAAAGCATTATTTTTCTTAGGTTAACGCGATTACGATACAATTTGTCGACTACGTAGTGTTATTAAACGTGCGACATATAAAAGATACATCGAATTTACAATCACATACCTTTATTTGACAAGCCGCTGCGTGAACCGGTTGTTTACCACTAACGATTGGGTGGTTGCTATTAGTGTTGTGGTTTGGTGTTAGACTACCCGATATGCCCGGGGACATTGTAAGGCCAATCGGCGAAGACGCATTGGCTGTTCCATTTGCTGATATTGCCGATGCAACTGAAGAAGATGCTGAAGCCGTACCGGTAACTGCTGCTCCCGTAGTATTGGTTGATTCTATGTATGTTTCAATCTGTAGTCTAAATGGTACACCTTTTTCACCGCCATGTTTTTTTGGTGTAAACTCGGTTGAAATGCAATTCACTTTAACATATACGCCAACTTCTTTCAAGGGATCCCAAAAAATCTCAACGGTATTCAAAAAATTTGGATTTAAAGGTTGCGATACGTGACATAAGCCGTATGAAAGTGGAACGTCAACTTCAATTATTCGCTCGCCAGGACGTGAAGCTTGCCATTGTTGCATTTGTTCGCGCTCCATAAACTGTAGGCGACGCTCATGGAAACAGATCTTGATGACACTCTGAACAAAAATTCATTAAGGAAAAATGCTCAATAAGTGAAAAGGTCAGTGCTTATACTACATACTATAATATTTGGAAATAGTTGTAATGTTACGTATTTGTAATTTATTATCTGTGCATTTTGTATGTACATACTGTTACTCCCAAAATTAGGCGTTCGGCTCTGTTTTGTTGATATTCGCAATGTTTTACATGCTAAAAATTTGTTGTTAATTTTGTATTAAAATATGGCTTATATTTTAGCAAACTCCATTTAAATCTAAGAATAATACTGTGTACAAAAATCAAGAAAGTGTTTGCAAAATCGCGAACTTTTTAATATGAATTTCTAAAAAGAATTCAGCAATGCGGTTTTATATTATAGCCCATTAAATTTTAGTATAATAATATGCAAAATTCAAAGTCTAAAAAATTGCGTTGATTTTTGAGAATTTTTCGCTGACTGTCCTACGCATTTTTTCCATATACAAGATTTTCAGAGTTTTTTTTATATGAAAAAAATGCGTAGGATAGCCAATTTTCAGAATTTTTTTATATGAAAAAATGCGTAGGATAGCCAGCAAAAAAATTAAAAAAATCAACGCGAATTTTTAGACATTTGGAATTTGCACATTATTAATGGGCTATAAAACTGCATTCCTGAATTCTTTTTAGAAATTCGTATTAAATATATATATACCATGGTTGAAATTAAAGATCTTGAATAGCACTACAACGTACTTGTTGTCAAGTGATATGATATGTGAGAAGGATGCACAGCTGCATGCAAATCATAACCCTGTAGTCAAATGTACTAGTTGTAAACTACCTCACAACTAGTATGAACTGCATGCCCAACTAGTCAGCCAACTATCTTTTTTCCAGGCAATCAACTGCTTTTTTTAACATGGGGATGTTCTACGAGATGGCAATTGTCAGATTTCGGTCAGAAATATACCAGTCTTATACTAGTTCAAAATAGGCAGAAAAATACTAGTCCGATTATGGACCAAAACCACTACTTTGGAAGTAAAAAAATAAAATGAATTCATAAATATACAATAAACCACTTTTGATTAAGTACACTTTAATACATTACACATTTTTATTTAGCAGCCTTAGATTTAAATTTTTTGAGTATTAATTAAAAGGAAAAATAAATATATAAAAATTTCAAATTTAAATGCATTTTCCATTAAACAATATTAAAAGTAAAAGCTTTCAGCTACAATAAATACTATATTTTTATCTTTTTTAATAATATTGAATATGGAAAAGAAAACATTCTAGTTAAAAATAAAACGAATACTTTAGTTTATTTTTAAGTGAATTAAAATTAAAATAACAGTTTTCATTGAAATAAATTAAATTTATTAACTTTGCACATTTCAGTCCTTGGATAAGAACAAAATAAATAAATAATTCATGCAGTTATTAAATATTCTTAATATTTTCTATACTTTGGCTTTTTGATTAATGATTGAAATTAATCAAATAATTATATTAATTGTGTAATTAAAAGTCAAAAATAATTGAAAATGATCAAAAATAACAAAATAATGATGCAATTAAAATTAACGAATTAATTTAAAAAATTGTGTTTAAGTTATTTATTATTAATCACTAAAAAGGTGCTACTATCGATATTTAATCATTAAACGGTTATCCAAATATTATGTGTTCTCTATTGTATTAAACTGTCGAAGTCAAATAAAACAGGGCATGAATAAATCGTTTTGTACTTGGTACAAGTCTGGTCATTTTCGAACTTGTTCGGGTTCAGTAAGGAAATTCTAGTTGTAAACTAGTATTTTTCCTGACTAGTTTGGGGTTTCACTGCAGGGAACAAATGCAATAAATGGCAATGACAGTTAGAGCTGCCAAATATCTCTGTTGCCAAACGGGGACACTTTAGGAGAGGAAGGGGGGATGGGAGCGAAAGGATGTAGTAAAATTTTATTTTAACAGACAAAAACAAAAACATAAAAAACAACTTATCACAACTAAGGCACATAGTAATTTTCACAATGCATGCACCTTTTCTATTATTTACAGTTTATACTACATTCATCAAAAAACCTAAAAAATTGAATCTCTAAACTCGCGAAAATTTAATAGAACTGCATACACATTTGTACCTTTCTAATCAGACTTTTTATAAAAATTTTTAAAATGAAGTTTTGCGGCCTATTAAATTTTAGTAAATTTTTGGTATTATTTTTACTGAGACAATCCTTTTTATATAGAGCAAAAAAAAAAATAAATAAAAAATTCTAAATATGGCTCAAAAGCAATATTTTCAAAATTTTTCTAAAGGATTTGATTGGAAATTTTGATCTGGTGAAAGAGCCACCGAGCCAATAATTTTGTACGGAGCTGTTAAGTACTCTAGGTTCCATGAAAGAAAAAAAATTTACAAAAAGGTACAAGATAACACTAAAATTAAAATTTTCGCTGCTGTGAACTTGCTTCAAAACTTCTGTCTTTTCCTTAATACATATATTTAATTGTAAAACTCTGCGCATTTTGTATGTACATACGTATTTAGGTGCATATATTAATCAACTATTTTGCTTGTGGAAAGTTCAACTATCTGGAGATGTAACTATTTCACAAATAAAACCGGTGCACTGAAAGAAATAAGTTTAGAATCAGCGTTCGGACTACTGAAACTCGATTCGGGAGTAAATGACTCGAAAAATCGGTGTAAAAACGAAATTTTCGGAGCAGATTAACATTCTAAATAGTATAAGAAAAAATTAGTTTCGTTCCTCAACTTTTCTGAATAAAACCTCTTAAACTGTCAAAAAGCTAAATTGCTCACAGAGAAAAAGAGAAAAACCCAAAATTACGGGAACGCTTTTCTGGTAAAAGCTGGTAAAACTGTCAAAAATACCGTGGATGCCATTTTTTGTTTTCATAGCAGTTTTTTGTCATTTGGCGATTTGCTAAATTATAAGCAAATACAGCATATCATAAGCAAACGTAAGCAAATATTATTTAGGTTAAATTTTGCTGCTTCTGACAAAGAGATTACCGTTTTTACTCTCCCATTTTTCCCCTACTTTGCCAGTAGTTTTTCCATAAACTAAAATATAATGTTAAAAAAAAACGTAAATTATCGGACGGCGTATAAATTTTTGACCTTTTGTTAATAAGAGTTCTTGCGAACATTAAGCTTTAAATTTCGACATTAAGCCTGTTCCAGTATTTATTTTTAATGAGATTCATCTTCGAAAATTTTCTTTCGGCAGCAGCACTACTGTGCGGTAAAATACTCTGCCAAATATCTAAACATACACCTTTCCAAAACATTTTTCTGGTCAATCCCCTGCTTTGGAAAATAAAAAAAAGAGTTTAAAGAGTAAAAGAGATAACTTCTGTTACACCTTTCTATACAAAATCTTGGTGCCACAGAAGTTATTGAAGAAAAATTGTAAAAGTTAATTATTTTGTAATATATTCCTAATGTGAATGGAAAAAAGTAAAAAACAAAATCCGAGCATATTTTAGGTCACGTGGAGTAGGGAGTAGATTTTAAATTAAAAAAAAGAAATCGGCGTACATCTACTCCGATCAGAGCAAAGTCCGGACGATGTTTACTACAACTAAGAAAGCGTACTATATTTAAAAAAAATGCGCATATAGAAGAGCACCAACCCAACTCGTAATACATTTAAGTACACAAATTTTAGTATTTAGTTTAGAAATATTCAATTCAATTCATTCAAATGAAGCGCTTTGCACTTACCGATTGCTTTTACATAATTAAGTTAAAAAAATATTTAAATCCAATGCTGCCTGTAATGGGATTTGAACCCTGACCCTCTTGAAATTGGCAAATTGTGGCAATGCATCTTTGCGCACACAGCTACAGCCAGACATGTAAATGTGTATTCAAATGTTATGTTTGAATCAACACCACGCGTGCGTGGTATGAAAGTATAATTTTTAAATACGAACAGTTTAAAACGATAATCAAATAGAAAATATTCATTTTTACTATACGTTATTTCCCTCAGTGAATTCATAAAATTTTTCTGAATATTACAACGCGTTTTTTCTCTTAGTGTAGTGAGTTTTGAACTTTTATTAAAGTTCGTGAAATCAAATCGAAAACCGGGACATTTAAGGTTGAACCGGGACAAATAGTCTAAAACCGGGACATGTCCTAGAAAACCGGGACGTCTGGCAGCCCTATGCAATGGGCAATCTCGAAATTTCGTTACACGCTCTTTTGAGGCTGAAACTAATACTGTAGATTTTGAGACTAGAAACGCGATTCTACTGTTACAAAACTAAAAAAAATTATCCCCATCGCATAGGGCTGCCAGACGTCCCGGTTTTCCAGGACATGTCCCGGTTTTAGACTATTTGTCCCGGTTCAACCTTAAATGTCCCGGTTTTCGATTTGATTGCACGAACTTGAATAAAAGTTCGAATAATAACGAGCCTGAGGTATCTTCCCCTACCCCCATTGAAGTGGTGGCATCGTCTTCAAAGCCTCCACCGCCTTCCCTATTCTCAACTAGTAACGCAGTAACTCAACCTCTTCCGCCGGTACTCCAGTCTGATACAAGGAAACTAGTTGTGGTTCCGCCAAAGAAGTCAATCTTTGTCTCTAGATTTTCAATTCAGAGATTCTTCCAAATAATTGTCATATCTATAGACAAGATAGGGAGGACAACATCGGCGGTGACGTACTCTTCGCTGTATACTCTTCAATATCATCTGAAGAAGTTAGTCTTTCACACATTGATTCAGTAGAATTCAAATGCATTCGTCTACAGGTTGGAAAAGGGTCTATTTACTTACATAGCGCTATGCTATATCCCTCCCAGATTCGACACATTGGTGTATCCACGACTCATCTCTTTGCTGAAATCAGTTAATTTACTGACTAAACCCTCTGATTCAATGACTGTGTTGGGTGATTTTAATTTACCAAGCATATCATGGAACATCATTGACAATGATATCGTGCCTTTCGCGTCTAGTGCGTGCAGCAACGTATTTTTAG